TCAATAACATCTCCATGGAGACAAGCTGGCGCTGAACATCCACCAAAAAAACGACACAGTTCTGCAGTTTTTAAGATAGTTCAATCAGTCAGATTTGTGGTGATTTGTGGTGAACGGGTTAAATGTGTGCGCTGCTTGTGTCAGCTCATATGAAACAGTGATTTGTCTTGGTAATATCCGTCTTGTCTCTTGGCGTCTCAAAGTGTCCCCCGAGGAAAAACATTCTGCGAACAACGATGGTCTCACGCGCCGAAAATGTGGATTAGTTGTTTTGTCGGTTATGTCCTCATCTCCCAGCCACAAGTCTCAACTCGCTCCTCTGAACCTCTGCTCTGTTTGTGCGTTAGCAACATGCACTTACATTTTTGTTACGCATCCGAGGTGAAAAAGCCACCACAATTACACAAGGGGAGTTTTTTTTTTTTTTTTTTTTTAACGACCAGGCCCGTCACTGTGACACATTTAGAACTGCAAGATGAATCGCAGTTGAATCGTGATTTGAAAAGCTGTAATTCTTCAAGTATCATAATTTCAATTTCCTCTACAAACAATAAAATATCCCCTTCTATTTCTGCATAAAAATGGCTAATTCTGTAGTTTTGATCTGTACAAACTGAAATGTCATTCTAGTATTAGCTCAGATTTCACTGTTTTTGTCAATTCTATTAAGAACTATTCAAACTTTAAGCACAAATCAAATCACGATGCAATTAGCTACTCAACTCATTGTAAAAGTAACTGTCAGGAAGTAATTCATAATTGTAAGTCCTTTTAATTGGAAGGACAAGACATTAATGGTGCATCGTGTAGCTTTTCTGGTGGAGGTTCATTTCTCTACCTGGAACGATCCACAGTGTGACATTAAACTAGGGCTGAACAAACTATTGTTTTGGACTGAAAATCGTTATGTCAGACAATAAGATGTTAGGAGTGTCAAAGCCACGTTTTTTGCAGTGCTCTTAAAGCTCAGTTTTAAGGGCAAAGTTTAGTTCTGCATCGACTCATTGCACACTGCGTCGTCTTGTTGCTGTCATTTTGATTTATGAATTGAGGTTGAGGTCTATGCGCCGCCAAGTAATTCACCACCACTGCACTAGGAGGCGAGGATTTAAACTTTGTGTTCATGTAAAGTTTCACATGAACCATCTCCAGCGCAATAGAAACACAAACAGACTCACCATCATCAGCACATCCTCTGTCACAGAAAGAACACTCATATTCCACTGAGTTGTGTCCTTTAGTCCGACAGAAGCTGAACTGCATTAGCACACAAGGAGCGAGCTGTTTTTTTTTTTTTTTTTTCAGTGCTTATTGTTTATGCACACTAGTCAAATAGTGGTTTTAAATTTCGTTTCTGTAAAATGTAAACAAATGTGTGCGACGGTCCAGCGTCAAATCGCCGGTGCAGGACTTGGTATGATGTAAGTTTCTGTGTTCTTTGCAAATGTTCATGTGCACTGAAACTTGATTTGAAAAAAAAAATCGTGGATGAAATCAAAATCGCAATATCTGCCAGAAAAATCACAATTCAATTTTTTTTCTTAAAATTGTTCAGCCCTACATTAAACAGCTCTATCTTGCATTTATTCAATTACAGGTGGTTTCAAAAGGTAGCTCAAAAATACCTGCCTCTCCAGAGATCTGATCTCTAACTTGGTCTGATTTAGTCTCCATGAAGATAGAAAGGTTTAATGCCATACTGTGAAACATTCCAGATAAAAGTGATAACATCTTCACGGAGGAAAGCACTTGCAGAACCTCCACCAGAAAAGTTACACAATGAACCTTTAATTAAGAAAAAAGATAGACTGTAAACATGAGAATAACAAGATCACATCTTAAGGAGCCGTACACGAAACACAAATGTTCATCATTTCATATTGTCCACATAAAACTCTTGTCACTTGACTTACTCACAGTGGGAAGAGTTACTACAACATGGTGTCTGAAAACTACTCAGAAGTACAATGGAACAGTGACTTGAGTAAATGTTAAAGTAAAAGTATTTCCCAATACCCACCATACTTGTTTTGTGTCGTTGGCTAAGAAGTTTATTTCCTGTGATAATCTAACCCTTTATCTATCCCTGACTTGTTCCACTGACATGATAACCTTAACACAAATATTTAGACTGGGCCTTATCATTTCATACAGTATCTCGATCAGTAAATATAACAACCACAAACCTCCAGCCATACCGGGGACGAAAAAAACACAGCAATAAGGAAATGATGGTAGTACAGGAAGCAGAATATTGTCATGGCAACAACAAAAATATTGACATCTTGAGCATTTTTTTTCCCCCAGTAATAGTCCGTAAACTTTTCTGTAGGACTCAGGAACCTGCTCGTCCCCACGGAGAAATTATTGCTCAGCTTGAAATTATATGGCATTCACTTTATCCATCGCCATGAAGAAGAGCAAGAGGCGCCACCAGGCCAAGTTTCAGATTAGATCTGTGTTGTAGCAATGCAAACAACGGTGAGTGATACTTTGCTGCTGAGCTCATCCACATTTACTAGGGTGTGAGGCTAACTGTAGGCTCTGCTCTGTCTGAAGCTCTGTTAGACTTTAATCTGAGCGTTTACACAGTCTATCCATAAAGAGTTGTGGAAGAAGTGGAACTACTACTGATGTGTGCTGTTCAACAAGTCTCTCACATGTTACATTACAGTCACAAAGTAGCAGCGTTACCCAACAGTTTTTCAGTTAGTCACACTCACCTTTTTGTTGAAAGTCTAACTCCTAAACAGGACCATGGACACTTGCGTTGATCATTCTCTCCTGAAAATGTGCTGTTTAAATTCATTTTTTGTTTCCTTCATGAGCTTTCAAATGATCTTAAATCTTTTTGGACAGTGTTTACTCAGGGTGACCAGATGTGTCTATTTACACAGGACAGTCCCAGTTTTGAGCCCTGTGTCCCCTGTCCCAGATTTATCCAAAACCAGTAATTTGTCCAAGTTTTATACAAGAAATGTCCCTGGTGTCCCTATTTTTGACCAATTTGTTACCTGTCAATAGTAAAGAGAGGTATACATTGTCATTTGTTTCGGTAAAATACAGAAAAGCTGCTTAAAAACGACCAAAACACAAAGAAAATGTGACTATACTGACTCACTTGTTATTCATAAATAAGTCATGAACGGGCAGAGTGCAGAACATTTTTTCTTAATTACGCTCTCATTACACAATTTTATTATTATCAACCAAAACAAACCGGGGTGCCCCAGTTTTTGATTATGAAAAGTAAATGCTGAACATTCCTCCATAGACATACTTGTAGAACCCCTCCGAGCATGATGTCACTGCAAAGTATTGACTGAATTAATGCAAGATACACAGGTTTACCATACACCATACTGTGGAACATTTCAGGTGGCAAAACCTCTTCCAGGAAAGTTCCATAGTGCACCTTTTGCAATACTATGTTCTTACTACTTGTACGAACTCGGTGCACTTCAAAAAACAATATAAAAAACAAATCTTACAGAAATACGTAGAAGACTAGCTCCATTGTCCAAACCTCGACTATTAACTAAACACTTGCTTTTCTTGAACTTTTTTACTTTTTATCTTGGTATGATCATAAACAATACATTTCGTGTCCTCTTTATCATTAATATTAGGTTGTCCGACTAGAAACAATGAAAATCCTTAAATTAAAAAAAAAAATCTCATTACTGCTTATTTTGGTATGATCATGAACGATAAACGTTTTGTGCCTACTTCATTACTATTATTTGTTTGTACGACCATAAACGAAAACAAAAAAATCCTTAAATTTTTCATTCTCCTTACTCTTTATTTTGTACGATCATAAACGATATACTTTGTGCCTACGATAACATTATTATTAGTTTGTATGACAATAAATGAAAATATGTTTCTGCTTGTATGTATATGTGTGTTATGCATATGTGTATAAACATTTATATTGAGTATATGTACTGGATATGTATGATGCGTATATGTATGTATGTATGTACGTGTGTGTACATGTGTGTGTGTGTGTACATGTATATGTATGTATGCATGTGTGGATATGTTTTTGTATATATGTGTGCATATTTCTGCATAACGACAAGTAAGCACTCCAAAGATGTTAAAAAAAAAAAGAAAGTGTGAACCATGTGATTATGTAAAACAATTGGGGCAAGACTCTATACCTTTTTGAACTTCATCCTACTCCTTTTGAGCACCAGGTCCCAAATATGTTCATGTACATATCCCAGTTTTTGTTATTGTTTTTGAATTTTGTTGTACCTGGTTCAAACAAATAAAGAAATGAAATGTTCAGATCCAGTTACCTGAACAATACCTCTGCATGTACCTCATGTCAGTGTGTCCCGACTCAGTGCAAGCAGTACGAGCAGTTCTTGAGGTCAAAATAAGTCTGCTGTGTACCGTCTGATTGTAACGTTTTACTGTGCAATAATTAGGAAATGCACAGTTAGCATGCTAGTTGTTGTTAATGTTACTGTGACCCTCTGAAAGTTGTGAAAAGTGTTCATGAACTCATCACAGTGAATCATTCGGATGCTCAAAAATAGCATTACATAAGAGAGTAATAACTTTAGACATCTGTAAACTGAAAGCACTCTGTTCTACCTTGTGATGTCATACGGTAATACATGAAGTGCTCCATTGTGTTTTTAAACCTCATACACCTTCAAAATCATTTGGAGCATTTCAGCCCTGGAATTGTTAATCTCTGCTAAACAAAAGGTAAAATGGAGCTACAATTTACAATATACTGCAATATTTCAAGGTGGAGCATTTTGAGCTTTGGAGATGTAGACAGACTAATTATAAAGGATTACTTAAACATGTGTGAGTGAATGAAACAAAAGAAACACAAAACTCCAGGTATGTTTGTGATGAGGTAATATTCTAACATGGCTTAAAGCTCACGAGAGTCATATAGGACCTTTTAAAGACAGGAAAATCAGGTACAGCTCCTCTAACCTCTCTCTCTCTCTCTCTCTGTCTTTGTGCAGTGCTGTGTTTGGCCTGAGCGATGGACAGCGGTGGATTTCGGCGTTCGTGGGCCACGCAGTCGCTCCGGATCACGGCCAAAGAGCTGTCCCTGAGCGGCAAAGGCAAGAACAGCGCCATCGCAGAGAGATTCTCCAAGTACGAAACGCATCACTCTACACCACAGCAGATATAAATTAGAACTGTCAAAAGGATTGGAAATCAGATATTAATTGATAGTAAAACTTATCAAAACTAGATACTCATTTGAGCAGGTATCAATAGTAAAAAAAGTCCCATTCACAGGACAGAAATTAACCTTTCCTGAATAGTTTTAGAATGATCTTGAGCTGTATCAGAACAAGTATAAGAGCACATAGACTAGTGGACCATGGACCACTATCAAACCTACCTGGACCACCGTAATATTCAACATGTAATAGAATGTAATAGAATATAATATGCCAAAATGTTGGTGGTTTTCGGACATCACACCATTCTTTAGGCAAATAATATTTAAGGCAGATGAGAGGCAGCTACAGTTAATATTGTTAAATTGCAGATGTTTGGTATAAAAGAGAGAGGGAGATACTTAATTGATCCTGATCAACGTTTGCTGCAGCAACATTTCCACTGTGCGTCTCAGTGACCTTTGTGTCTCAGTCAAAGGTCTGAGTGCAGTTTAACAGGACGACTGGTCAGGGATGGTCAGTGGATCTGTGTCAGGGCGGTTTGAGGAGAGGAAGAGCCAAAAGTGTCCTCCAGCCCAGACTTCACAGCAGTGTCCGGGGAGGAACCAGTGTTTCCTCTGGAAGGTCTTCTACCACATTTACTGCCACATATTGTCTAAAAAGCTTGTAGCATCTTAAATATTCATAGCTATCTCGTTCACCAGCCTCTTGCACAGTCTCCAGTTCATTTCACACAATCCAACAGTCCCTTGTGTTTATTCCCTCAAAACTCTGGAAGGTCTCCTGCCACATGTGTGCCACAGATGGTGTACAAAGGCTGTAGCATCTCAAATGCCCATAGCTAATCTAGTCAGTTATTTGATCTAGTCACTACAAGAAATCATCAGATTCAACATTTGTGTGTTTACAATTTAGATATTTCATAGTAAAGGACAGTGTTATCAATAGGAAAAACTGGTTCTTGCCCTCATCTGTGTTATGACTTTGTCACATTCTACAGTCCCTGTAGTTCAACCTGAGCTGGAGGACAGGTCAGAATTATATGATGGAATTTGCTGCTTAACTGTCAGATTGCAGTTTTGCTGACCTGGTTTATGGTTGAAGATCCTATATTATGCAAAATAGACTCTTGTGAGCTTTGTTTTGTTTCATTCACAAACGTTTGAGTAATCCTGATTTATTAGTCTGTCTACATCTTCTTAAGATCAAAATATTGTAATGTGGGCCCTTTATATCTTTGTAATTATTGGGTCTATCCACATGAAACAAAAAATGGCACAAAGTTCAACGTCTTAGTAAGCAAGGATAAATAAACAAATGTGAAATAGCCTCACAATGGCTTCAGAAAGTAGTGCCATTATGCAACCCCAAAGATCTAATTATTCTCCATTGAAAAGACTTTAAGCCATAAGATGAATATGGCGGGTTTGTGGAGCCAATCCCAAACAAATAATCATAAGGTTCAGCGTTTGTGGATTTTTGTTAGAAATCAGCCATTATGGATTGTCACAAGGATGATGCTGATACCATTCAAACATCAATTTAAAACATGTACAGTAGGCAGATCTTCCAGCTACTTGCTACTTTATTGTTGTCATGATTCTAAGATTTCAAACTTGATTTTGATACCAAGGAAATTAGACTCCAGGGATGGGACAAGATCTCACAAGATAAAATTCCCTCAACCTTATGCACATGTGGAAAGTGATCTTGTGAGATTTTTTTGTTTGTTTACAGTGTAACTTCATTTAATTTTAAACACATAATAACAATAGATTCTTCTATTTTTCCCAATATGTAGTTTCTCTTTTTTTTTTTTTTTTTTTTAACTTGAACTTGAATTCACTGATTTGTCTTTTGCAGGTACCAAAAAGCTGCAGAGGAAGCCACAGACAAGAAGAAGACTGTAAGTATCTGTCCATCTCATGTTTAAGACATGTTTTTTGGTTTTGGGCTTAGTCCTGGAGTACTGTCTTCTAGTTCTTCTAGTTCTGGTTCAGTCCTTGGTTTAGTCCTTGGTTCAGTCCTTGGTTCAGTCCTTGGTTCAGTCCTTGGTTTAGTCCTGGTTTAGTCCTGGTTCAGTCCTTGGTTTAGTCCTGCTTCAGCCCTTGGTTCAGTCCTTGGTTCAGTCCTTGGGTCAGTCCTTGGGTCAGTCCTGGTTCAGTCTTTGGTTAAGTCTTGGTCAGTGTTTGGTTCTGTCTTGGTCAGTCCTTGGTTCAGTCCTTGGTTCAGTCTTTGGTTCAGTCTTTGGTTCAGTCTTGGTTCAGTCCTTGGTTCAGTCTTTGGTTCAGTCCTTGGTTTTTGTCCTGGTTCAGTCCTTGGTTTAGTCCTGGTTCAGTCCTTGGGTTAGTCCTGGTTCAGTCCTTGGTTTAGTCCTGGTTCAGTCTTTGGTTCAGTCTTTGGTTCAGTCCTTGGTTTAGTCCTGGTTCAGTGCTTGGTTTAGTCCTGGTTCAGACCTTGGTTTAGTCCTGGTTCAGTTCTTGGTTCAGTCTTTGGTTCAGTCCTTGGTTCAGTCCTGGTTCAGTGCTTGGTTTAGTCCTGGTTCAGTCCTTGGTTTAGTCCTGGTTCAGTCCTTGGTTTAGTCCTGGTTCAGTTCTTGGTTCAGTCTTTGGTTCAGTCCTTGGTTTAGTCCTGGTTCAGTGCTTGGTTTAGTCCTGGTTCAGTTCTTGGTTCAGTCTTTGGTTCAGTCCTTGGTTTAGTCCTGGTTCAGACCTTGGTTTAGTCCTGGTTCAGTGCTTGGTTTAGTCTTGGTTCAGTCCTTGGTTCAGTCCTGGTTGATTGATTTCTATTGTTGGGACATTGTGATCTTAAATATAATCCTGGTTTATATGTTGGGTTTAGATCAGGCATGTCCAGACTTGGTTCCTTCACTGATTGAATATAGTCTTATGTAAACATCTCCATATCCATGCGTTTCCATGGAGTCCTTCTAACATCTATAAACATGCTGTCAAATGCATAGGATTTTTGTATTCATTTAGCATTTTTTAGTTTTATCTCTCAGGTGATGATGCTCTTTTAAATATAAACTGAATCTTGATTTTAAAAAGTAAATTGCAAATGTAGATTTTCTTTCTTCCTATTGTCTATGAAAAAAATGTAATATTCATGGGTTTCAGTTTTCCTATTGTGACATTATTTTAAGGACAGCTGACCATTCAAGAGATATATTTAGTTTTGAATAGGCTCTATTCACGCTTGCCGGAAGACATTTGAAAACATACGGATGACGACTTCCGGTGTAGTTACCGACACTGGTCATGTATAAGGGTGTGCAGAAATACTGAAATATTGATTAGGGATGTAACAATAACTGAAATATCGTATATCCGTCAAAGTTCTCATCGTGGATCATCACAATATATCGAATTACATAGACCATGATCCTTTGCTCCATTTCAGTGTAAACTACAAGAAGAAATAACAGTTCAGCACGTTAAGTCTTAGTTCTTTGGATTAAGTCTTGTCAAGGCATTTTAAGAGGAAAAAGAAGAATATTCTGTTTTGTTGGCCTCCATAAAATGTTGCAATAAATATCGTACCGAGAGATTTGGATATTGTTACATCCCTAATCGTGAGCCTCCCCACCATATCGTGAGCTTTCCCACGATCTTGCAATAAATATTGTACCGTGAGTTTCATACCGTGACGATATTGTGTCATGAGACTTGGATATCGTTAAACTCTTAATATTGATATATCGTATAATTTAATTTGATGATACAGAATCAATATCATGGGCTGCTGTATCGATATATCGCCAAGAGTATTTGAGTATTTTTTGGTGTATTTTAATAAATTATTTTGTTACCGTGCTACAGTTTTGTTGCTTGTTTAGTGGAAGGAAACATTTATGCAACACATTTGACATTTTCACTGTTTTGATGATTAAATTATTTGTGTTTCATATGAACTTTGCACAAAAAGTGGTTTAACAAAGACTTTTAGTGTCACAGCCATGATTTTGCCTTTTTTTTTTTTTTTTTTTTTACCGTATCGAATCGATTTGAAATATATTATATTGAATCGAAAGTGCACTGTATCGAGGTATGTATCGTAGCGGCAACTTCTTAATGATACCCAGCCCTACTCATGTATGATAAAACCGTCTTGACTATCGTCTTCACTTACATGCAGATGGTTGTAACTGTTGATCTGCCGAACATAACACTACAATGACATCTTTTTTATGACTATTTATTATTATGTTAGACAAATTATAACACACAAATGAATAGGCAATTTATATAAGGAAAAAAGAGAGAATACAATGACATCTAGATGAAGAAAACCAAGCCATTTTCTCAGTTTTCTCAGATTTTGTCAGAGTTACTAATGGAGTTACAGAGCCCAAAGGAAGTCGTCGTCCACATGGTTCCAAACGTTTTCCGCTTTTGTGACGTACACGTGAATAAAGCCCATTGTTAATTGCCATGCCGACAGTCCCTACTTTACTTGCCAATGTTTTTGCTATATTTTTTCATTCAACCAGCACCTGTTCCTCTGGGGCTGACCAATTTTGGGATCATAGTCAGGATTATACTTGTTTATCAGGATTATACTTGTTTATCAGGATTATACTTGTTTATCAGAATTGGACTTGCTTATCATTATTATACTTGCGATCAGATTTGAGACATATGTTTTAAAGTGAATATTGCCAATTTCAAACATATCCATGAGCTGTAACATTTGAGAAAAGATTGGAATATGAACTACTAAACTAATACAAGAATCACATGTTTGCAGAGGCTTAAACAAGGGATATAACAATAACCGAAATATTGTGATGTCGTATCGTCAAAAATCTCACAATAATATTGTGGACCATCACAATGTATTGAATCACAAGTCTTTTTGCTTAAATGATTAGTTATGATGGTTCTAATTTCTTCCTCTGTGATTTTAATCTTTCTTAATCTGTAAATTGCATTGTGTATGAATTGTGCATAAAGAGGGATGCAACAATATCCAAATCTCTCAGTATGATATTATCACGAAAGGCATCTCATGATACGATATTTATTGCGATATTTTGTAGATGGCACTCTTTTTAGCTTTTAAAATACCTTGACAAGATTTTGGTGTGAATTATTACCATCATAACTAGGGATGGGCATTCGATGAAATTTTATTAATCGATCGTCGGGAGAATTAACAATCGATTTTTGATTAATCATTAACGTTTTTATACAATGAGTATCATCATAATTATTACTATTACTAATTTGCATAAATAAACTCAACTTTACAACATATAAACCATCACCACTGTAGAGCCACATCAGCCCATTTTACATATAACGTGTTTAATGCAGTTTTTGCGCAAGTCTTACAGAAACAAAACTTAAAACTGCATGACTAATTTGCATAAACTAAGCAAAGAAAAAAAAAAAACGCTCTTGTGCGCTGATGCCATTCAGCTTTTGTCTGACTAAAGGACACGACTCAGTGGAATATGAGTGTTCTTTCTGTGACAGAGGGATGTTGATGCTGAAGGTGAGTCTGTTGTGCGTGTCACGATGTTTTCTATCTACGCCCAGAAACCTACATTCGGTTTGTCCATTAGAAATTAACGTAATCGACGAAAATCTTAATGATCAATTATCGATTAGTCGACTAATCATGACCATTCCTAGTCATATCCCCAAGAATTCAAGTCAAAAACATATTTCTTCATGTTGTCTGTGCTGAAGTGAATCATGGGATATGTAGTTGCTGATGTTTATAAGCTGTTGCTACTATAAAACCATGCATTTAAACAAAGATACTTGTGATTCGATATATATTGTGACAGCCCACGATATTATTGTGAGACTTTTGACGGTATGATATCATGATATTTCCGTTATTGTTACATCCCTAGCTATAAATATATAAACATATATAAAAAACAGTGCAGCAGTAGCTAAAAAACAGAGGGAACTACATAGACCATGATCCTTTGGTGTTGTCAATGCAGACTACAGGAAGAAATAACATTATTAAGCATTTTAAATCATAATTCTTTCAAGGCTTTTAAAAGGAAAATCACATATTCACAATTTCGTAAGCCTCCACAAAATATCGTAATAAATATTGAACCGTGAGATGCATATCGTGAAAATATTTTATCGAGAGGTGTTGATATCCGTAGTTTAAACAGCAGCTTTTATGTGCTATATCTGTAGTTTAGATCTATACCATCACATTCTGAATGGTGATTCTTGTATTAGTTTGCTAGATCACATTTCTGTCCTTTTGTCATTTCTTCTGGACCCATTTAAAATGTAAACTCTTAATCAGGAAGAGGAGAAAGCTAACGTTCTTCCTACGATTAGTCGCTGGTGCATTTCTCACAGCTGAAATGGCCTGCCGCTCCCTGACCATACAAACAATGCGTGGGCTAATATCTCATTACGCCTTCCTCCCATTGGACACACTTGTTGCTATGGGCGTATATCAAAGTCTTAATCCTACACTCACAGCTAATCCCCCAGCACTGCTCCTCTGTCTGCAAATCACTGTTTAGTTCAGTGGCACAGACACAAACCTTGGATTAAATGTAAAATTTGACAGTACAGTAACTACAGATATGAAGAAATACAAGGTAAAGTTGAAGTAGTAGGACTAGTGTTGGTAAAAACCTGTAGATGAATAGCCCGTGTAATTTGACATCATTAGTGTCTCGTGCCAGTTTACTGCCATTGCCGATGCCAGTTCTAATTGGCATTATAAGTATGCAGTAGTTGTTTTGTTCTATACACCTCCCATAAGACTGTTTTGTTAAACATACCAAGTAATTAATTTGTTGTTTTGGAGGCACTGAAGACTTCAAGTTCAAGATCACAATGTATTTTAAATGCTGTTACTGTAGCAATTAACAAAACAAAATATGAAATCTTTTAATTGGTGCAATGTTCTCAA